GCAGTGAAAACAACCAGCACACAGCCCATGGTTTGAACACAACACTTTCAATGCAGAGAAACTGGAGCAGGTCTAGTCTCTTCAGTCATCGGAAACAAACTAGAACAAGACATCCCTTGGGCCTGAGAAGAGCAACAAGGCGACTAGTAAGAATGGCATCACACCTGACGTGGAGGGTCAGGGCATCCAAACCCCCAAGAGCTGCTATGGACGAGGATACAGACTGCTATCCCAGCCCTGTGACAGTGATGTCATGGCAAGGGCTATACATGCTTGAGCATGTGCCCCTGGAAATTCACAAGGACACACAAGGTACATTAAAGGATGTTCACAGCAGAGTTCTAAGTGAGAGCCCTCAGTGAGAACTCAGCATCTGGCACAGACACAGGAACTCCAGTGCACGTACTGTTACACTATTCTCACAACACTCAAAAGCAGTGGGCAGAGGGGTTCTAGCCTGCTCCCCCTCACCTGAGTCTGACTGAGCCTTATACGGTTACTGTGAAATCACTACTAAGATGTTTACTGCTCACCACGTGCCATTCTATACCATGGCTATGTGCTTTGGCCCAATTTTCACAACCACTTCCATAAAACATCACAGAGTACTCCCCAAATGCAAATACAGACACAAAGCGCTTAAATAATTTAACCAAGCCCACAACAACTAAGTACGATGAGAGCTGGGAAACACACAGCCATCCTAGTGTGAGGGTGTCTATTTAAACATTCGCCATGCTGTGACTCAATGGCAGAACTGTAATAGCAAAATGGAGGGAAGACGAATGTACAGGAGGTGGGAGGGCAGCTAGGTCCCCATTCTAAAGAGAAATCAGCAGATAATGCCTCAAACTGGTGGTGGCAGTGGGAGGAGGGGGCACAGTGTGTGAGCCTGTGAGGAGAATTGGAAGAAAAAAATCAGAAAATAGCTACACGCCATGGCAACAGTGGTTGTCTCTAAGAAATGGGTCAGAGTAGACAGGGCTATTAGATTAACTTAAAAGCCCCATGACACCATTCTTTTCTGTAAAGCTACTGTTCTTCTCCACAAACCCCCATCCAAGAAGATCTTGTTCTGTAGTCCAGGCTGTCCCCCTGCCCTTACTTTCCTAGAGACCAAGCATACTGAGGAAGGACACAACTCACAGAATTCCCGCCTAACAGTGATCCCTCAGTTCAACCCTCAGTCCCACACAGACCAACATGGTGAATTAAAATTCCAAGCTATAATAATAGTAGCTATCATTTACTAAACCCCAGCACCTTCAGCCCTTCGCTCAACACTTTCACCCGCGTCACCTTGAATCCTCCAAATGAGGAGGCGGTCCCATCAGCCCTTACTTTGTTGATGAAAAAGATTATGAATTTAACTGCCATGGGCTAACTGGCAGGGAGGAGGGGGCTTGACTTTGGTATCTGAGGACATGCTAGTCCTGCTCCCTCCCAGGGAGAGAAGAACAGAGGCCCAAGCCTCTCAAGGTTGTTTATAAGTATAGTCACAAACATGTATAGCTTCCAGGTGTCTGTGGGTCACCTATGGGCACAGGCTACCTGGTGAGTAGAATAGTCCAGGTTGGCTCTTAGGAGAGAATTTGGTGTTAATGGTGTGGGACCCGCCCACATGCCCACAGTGACTGCAATCTCTTTATTCTGGTGCACCCAAGGGACACAATGAGCCCCCAAGGATCACTAGCATGCATCACAGTGGGGATCCTAACAGGGCCTTTCCTCCTCCACATGTGCTCCCTGAGGATGGGATCCCAGCATGAGGTTCATGACTCACCAGCCACGCCAACATTTACCCAATATTTCTATGCTAAACCCAAGAATCTTCAATGGATTCTCATCAACCCCCCACCCTCCCCACAGTAGCTATAAACTAGACAAATCCAACAGAAGCCTGGCCAGTGACAATGGAAATTCTCCCAGCCAGTGCTCAATGAGGCCCCTCACTGAGGTCCCAAGTCAGGTCCACAAACAAGAAGGCTCCTCTCTACTCCATGAGCCACCTGGGCCATCAAGGAGGAGGACACTGGGGAACAGAGAAGGGACAAACACCTACTTGTTTAGGGAGCCAAGTCTAAACCATAGATGTTGGCCAGTGGCCAAGGAAAAGGTTGGAGAAGCTGACTCTGGGTGACCCAGGTGAAAGGGTATTTTGGGAACAAACAAAAATTTGAAGAAGCCCACCACCTACTTCAGTAGTAGGAGAGGACACACAGTACCAGTAACAGAAACAGTCACGGGTGGAGGAAAGGAACCAGAGAAGACAACAGTGCCTCACTCCACCATATTTGGGTCACACCTGCCAGGGTAGCTCCCTCCCCATCTTTAAGGCTCCCTGCCTGACCCTTGTTGTTTCAACAGCCTCCCTGGCCACTCTTCCCTGTCTTCCTCTCTGTCCTTGCTCCATTCAGATCCCTCCTCTACTTGGCTGGTCCTTCAGTCTCCCAGGGATGTTCAGATTACTTCTTACCATCTCTCACTACCACCAGCTGACACACTCTTCAAATACATACTTTCCTAACTTCCTACGAAGCATAATGCACTCATCTTTCAGTGTTTGAATGTCAGTGTTTCTAAGTGCTTCCCATTTTCCATGGGACCTGTAGGAATCAGGCACTCCCAGGAGGTCAGTGCCTGCTGTGCTCTGACATCACAGAGACAGGCTGAAGAGTCATTTTCTGCACAATATAGAACATGCCTCTCTCTTAACCCACAGGGAAGCTACATAATGATATGAACAGTGTGTGTCCAAACCAGGGTTCAGTAAATGTATTCTGGAAAGTGCCAGGTAGACATATGATGGCTCATCCCAGTGCTCGGGGGACCGAGTTAGCCTAGGATGCACAGTTAGTTAGTCCTGTCTGAGAGTAAATATTTTTGCCTGCCGCAAAAAATAAATAAATAAAAGTACCAAGAGTGCCAGGTAGCAAATCCTGGCTTTGCAAGCCACAGGAGTCCCGCCTTTGGGCAGGACAGCCTGGACAGAGCAAAGATAGGATGGCTGCTTCAGCTATGCTTCATTTACAAACAAAGAAGGCAGACCACAAGGCCACAGTTTGCTGATGCCAGATTGAAATTACAAGCACCCAGAACACCTGACACGTGGTGAGTACCCAATAAATGAATAAGACTTTGTGGAAAATACCCACTGGGTTTGCAGTGGCTCCCACTGTGACTAATAGCCAGAGGTGGATTTAGTGACACAGGGTGGGGTGGAACTGTGTTGACAGTGGACTACACAGAGTAACAGCTAACAAAGTGGTCGGTTCTCTTCTAGCTTAAAGCAGCGAGACTGGGAGTGGGGGTGGGGGTGATGCTGCCGGAAGACAGCAGAATAGATGGGAGGCAGAGCTGCAGGACAGGGAAGAAAGTGATGAAAAGCTGGGGCCCCTCCAGAACTTCAGAGAGGGACATGAACCCCTGGGGTGTCAGCCATGAGGAAGAGGAAGTCAGAGGCAGACACAAGGGAGCAAGGATAAAGGAGGAGAGGGCTTTGCAGTCTTTCCTGTAAAATAGGAGCCAAGGCCATAGACTGTGACACAGTGGGGGCCTGACTGAGCCAAGGCAGGGAATGCATTTACCTCTCTCTACTCATCTGAGAGTATTTGAGGTGGTGTCTAGTGTTTGTGGGTTTTGGGTTTTCAGCTGTGACTCAGTGTGAATGAAGTATGTCACTCACTGACTCATCAGCACTTCTTGTCACTTTGCAACACGGGTACCAACAGGCCCCGAGGAGCGGGAAGGGGGTATACCTCACACCTGTGGACACACCCAATTCTTCTGGAAGGTTACAGTCTCATCTGCATGCCCTCAAAAGTGTAAGAAACCCAGAGATTTAACAAATTCTCAAGGGGCAATCAATCTCATGGCCAGTTCCCTCCCTCACAGCAGTAAAGTATTTCCCCATGAGGGAGAGAATGGTCTTTATGGGAGCACAAAGCCCTATCATATCCCGATGATAGACCACACGCAACTTTAAGGACAAGAAGCCAGTTGACTGGCAGGAGTTTCAGAATAAGCAGTGTATAATCATCATTTAGTTGTACAAGCTTATTGTAGTAGTAGAGTCTACCCAGTTCAAGTTCTCACATGGAAAAATCAGTGTTAATCCCACAGATCGCCCCACGGCATTTAATAGTCAGAAAAGACCTGTGTTAAATCAGGAGATGGCTCATCAGTAAAAAGCAGTGCTCTCCCTCTCAGAGGGCCTGAGTTTGGTTCCCAGTACCCATAGCAGGCAGTTCACCACCGCCTCCAGGGGGATCAGATGCCTCTGGCCTTCAAGGTGGGTACTGCATTCACGTTCACACACATACCTAACGAAAAAAACGAAACCTTCAAAATCTCTTTAGACAATCCATTTCAATGATCAAAAAATACCAGAGACCTGAAAACAACCAACCAACCGAACAAACAAAAACCCTAACATTTCAAAGTTAACATAATTATTACATTACTGTCACCACTGTTACAATGTTGAAGAGGGTCGGGTGGTGGTAGCTTACGCCTTTAATCTCAGGACTAGGGAGGCAGAGGCAGGGGGATCTCTGTGAGTTGGAGGCCAGCCTGGTCTACAAGAGCTAGTTCCGGGACAGCCAGGGCTACACAGAGAAACCCTGTCTCTGAAAAACCAAACAATGTTCGAGAAGGTTTGGACCCACTCTATTTCTTTTCAATGACTGGCACTATCTAGGTTTTAATTGAGACACTCCAAAAAACTCTTTCAGGTGTAACTGGGTCTGTGAACACCTGTGTACACTACGATTCCTTTTTCTATTTTGAAGTTCTTATCCCCAAAGTCTGAAGATAATTCTCTTGGGAGACAGCAAACCCCTCAATGACTTCTCTCAAGTCATTATGGACAAGTAGAGCACCAGCAACTCAAAATCTCACTAAGCTCGGGACGAGAGAAGTTACACCAGTAACACCTTGTTTTGCTTGAAATGATTTTGCACGCACTCAGAAATATATACTAAATAAACTTGTTCTCTTACCCTATGGTTGGATTGATATTCGGATCAAAACTGTCTTCCACAAACCGCCATACGATGCTTGATTTGCCCACACCCGTATCCTGAAAGAGAGTAAGACGGGCGACTGAGGAAAAAAAAAAGCTATCTGCAGACACTCAAAACCACTTTGTGGCATAAAGTGGGTAATTTTAGAAAAAGCACCCCCATCTGTAGATTTTATAAATTGAGGGACACACGGCAGGCTTTTGGAATAAGTCAGTAAAGAAATTTTATTTCAAAATGTATTAATTGGGAGTAGGCCTCTTAATGCATGCTTCTAATTCCAGCACTGGGGGGGGGGCAGAGGCAGGTGGATCTTTGTGAGAAGAAGGCTGATCTCTTAGTCTACAGAGCCAATTCCATGGCAGTCATGGCCACACAGTCAGAAACTGTCTTAAAACTATTTAAAAAGCACTGGGGAAGGATTCTGCAGTTTCTAAGACTAAGAGACATTAGAACCTCTTGAAAGACCCAAGCTGGCTTGCTATCCCAGTTCAAGGCCTGCTGAGGGTACGAAGAGACTTCAAGGCTAGCCTCGTCAACTTGAGATCCTGCTATAAAACAGAAGCAAGCAAGCTGGGGACACACAGGGCTCAGTGGTACAGTGCTCACCTACCATGTACAAAGTTTTAGGTTCAATCTCTAGGACGGCCCTCCTCCCTTCAAGACACACAGACACACACGCACGACCCCAAGTTTCTGCTTTGTGTGGAAACTCACTGTCCTTTTAACACACACCAGAAAACTATGCGCTTCCAAGTTAGGCCTGAGTAATCCTGGATGAACCTAGCCCCACCCTAGTAGAGGGGCACAGGACGTCTAGTGATTGGGATTTTCAGTCATTAAAACAGAAACTCAGGAAGGAGACCATCAGAAGGCTCTGAAAGGGCCAAACTACCCAGAGGGGACCGGAAGCCGAAGCCTGGCAAGTCCTGCGGCTTCCTGGTATGAGCTCCTCCCTTCTTCCCTAGAAGAGTAAACTTTGGAAAAGTAACTCTTGCAGAAGTGTCAGAGACGTCCCCAAAAGTTCAAAAACTGTGCCACCCCGCTGGAAGGAGGCCAAGGGCGCTCCCAGAAACCTCAGCCCCGGCTCGGGGTTTAACTTTGAGGGACCTGGACAACTTCAAAGTCGTCCCTCGCAAAGTTGGCAGCCAACTCCCCGCGGGCCGCTTCACCGCGGGGTGG